TTTGTAATTAAAACTCATATTCGACAGAAATTAATTCAACGTTCGATTTTTTTAAGAAAACTTTTCATACAGTAGTCCTAATTCATTCACAATAATTATATATACACGGAGAGTTTCAAAACAAGAAAAAACGTTAACGTCGGTTGAGTCGAAACATCATAATAATAAACAAAGGATTCATTACAAGAACTTGAGTTCGATCGGCTAGTTTATATGGCAGCTAAATGATATCTTAATCCGACATCGTCTTCTTTGGGAGAAAAGAATATGGGCAAAATTTCAGATCGATATCCTATAAACTTAGTGACTATTTCGCGTATATACAGATCGCCAGACGAATAAACAGACAGGAGGACATGGATAAATCCATTCCGCTCGAGCGGTTTGATCTACAGAAGCCATAAAATATTATACTGATCACTTTAAACAACTTTGTCTTAGACACTAGGGCTCTAAAACCGTTAAAAATCGCAGGCTCGAAACGGGTTTTAGACCAGTAGGGCAACAAACAAATAAAATCATATTGTTATAACGGTAGATAAACATACGTAAGTACACATGTTCCGGATACCGAATATGTACGAACTTCAACTGGTGGTCGTTTATAATCCGATTAATAAATTTGGAATGCTATAAATTGTGATTAAATGAATGAGTTCACGATTAGATTATTCGAAATGCGCTTTATGAGACCAATAATATTTCAGTTTTTTAATGCTAGAAGCATTTTTTCTAAAACGATTTCCTTACACTTTTTATTTAAAGAACTGTGATGTAATTGTTGGAATTATATCATATAAATAAGGTAGTATATTGCATTATAATACCTACTATTAAATATACTACCATGGCAAAAAATAGTAAGACTTTGCTCATAATTTTCAAATTCTTATTATATTATTCTTTATTATTCAAAATCCATATCGCTCTTCTGAGAGTAATCCCGCTTTGCCCTAATACACTTATATATATGTTTTTTTTTTCCAATCCTCGAAACAGTTGTGAAAGCCAATTTCTGGAATAGCCTTCAATGTGCGTAGCAATTCACATTTAATGTCTTCAATTGAATCAAAACGCTTTCCCAGGTACTGTCGTTTCAGTTTTCTGAATAACCAGAAGTCACACGGAGCTAAATCAGGCAAAATCAAAAAACACATCTAGATGTGTATAAGAGACAGCTCCTTTAATTAAGATTAATTTTATTTTATGTCAGTTTATTTAATTAATATTTAATTTAAATTTATCATATTCATTTTTAAATTATTTGTCTTTAATTTATCTGATTTTATTACATCTAATTTTTTACTGTTGTTTATTTTTATTGATTTATTTTATTTTAATTAATCTTGTTTAATTTAATTTAATTTAGTTTTGATTTACTTCATTTAATTTAATTTAATTTTCTCTTTTTTTAAATTTTATTTATTTAAAATCTATTTCCGTATTTGGTATTTTTTATATTATAATTAAAAGATTTTAAAACTTAAATTATTTAATTTTTTTCCACATTATTTTTCCATATTGTCACTTGCAAACAATGAACATACATACATATGTGTGTATATATGTATATTTACTCCAGAAGTATGCTTTTATTTACACATACATACATGTACATATGTATGTATATAGTTTCATCACTAAGAATTTATTTAATATGTATATATAACTTTTCAAAAAACGACGATTAAGTTAAACAGTAATTCGTTTATTTAAAATAATTTTCATTTAAGCAGTATTTCGCAATAATCAATTACCCACAATATATTATGTATGCATATACATATACATATGTAAAACAGAACAAGCAACCACACTGGAATGTCATACACACTATATACAAGTATGTAAATAGTTACATATTTGTATGTATGTAAATATTTTTAGCACCCACCACTAGTACAAACAAAGCGCTTAAAAATATTTCACTGTAAATTTCGTTTGTGTTATCACCATTACAACTGAACTGCATCGATGCTGATGAATTAATTATTTATTTATGCATGTGTATAAGCGCTTGCAAAGCCAAAACAAAAGATAATCAGTTACAAACATACATATCATATGCGGTATCCGCCCGCAAGCGCCGAACGCTATTCAAACACGCGCGCAAGTTTGCTGTGGACTTTTCTAATAGTTTGACATTGAATTGGTCCGACATAAAATCATTCACCGCTTTTCGATTCCGATTTCTTGTTATTCACTTTTTTCCTTAACTTTATTTCAGTTGTTATTTTAAATACATAGGTATTTATTTTTCACATTGCACTCTGTGCGCTAAAACGAATTTGAACTTTAATTTTTGTGACTTTTTTTATGTCCGCCAATCGTTTTTACTAATTCACCAATCCAATTGCACCACCCTCGATGTCATTTGCATAGCAGTTAGCTACTAGTGCCTTGCTTGTTTAATATTTCGCAGCGAGCGCTTTTCCAAGTGACCGCTTTGTGTCCAAGTTGACGACCGTTTGCGCGACCACAATGAGCGCCAAAGTGTAGCAAGCCGCCGTTCGCACGCAGTTGCCCACTCTGACCGCAGCGCGTCGACGATTTGTGAGATTTAGGGCTGTTGCAACGCAACAACGTAGTTTGCGACAGTGTTTAACGATCATTAACGGTTCTACTCGGCGGCGAAGTCGTAGAGCTTTGTCCGCTAGCTGCGGCGCTCAGCTCGGCTTAGCTTAGCATAGCTGAGCTTAGCTCAAATGTGTATAAGTGTAGGGAGCGTCAGCGAGAATGGTCAGTATTGATGACGAAGACTCTTTGTTTAATTCCGTGGTCATGCTTTTGTATCGTTTGCTGACGAAACAGCTGTTCGCTGAGCTTCTTTGTTTCGTGCGCATATCGAGTACGTGATTGCTTCTTTTGTTGGCACTTATTCGAGTTCGTATCTATTTTTTATTTGGATTTAAGTTGTATCATTGTTGCCTGTGATGACATTTTAACCGTGTTCCAAACCAACACATATTTTGAAAGCAACAGCAGAAAATTTTAACCTTTTGTGGGGTCTGATGGAAGTTCGTGCCCCTCATGATTTTTTTTTTTTTT